TGTTATCATTTTACAGATTTCAGATTGAAAATGCAAGCATTAGATTTCCTATTGTTTTCCAAGTGCACCTCTGAAAATGAATACAATATGAAGGGCGAATTGCTTGATGATATTTTGGCAAAATGCTTGCCTCTTTGCTATATGCAATTCAAATCACAGTTGGACAGGAGAGAATTATCAATAGTGCTCGTCTGTGGTCATTTTGGAACATCTAATGAGTATGTTTTGTTGAGATTTTCTGGTGCAAAATAACCTTGACTCTGAGCGTCAGTTTGATCGCTGTGAAAATATACAGTAGTTTTTTACGATGGACGATTGAAAAATTAACATATGACTGGTCGACTGTATGTATTGAAAACCAATCGGTGGATGCCGGGATCGGGGCACGCCAAGTGATGAAACGTACCGGCCGCTGATAACTCTTACCGGTTGGTTCAAATGAGTCGTTTGATGTAACTTCCGTGTGATTTATCTAGCTCCAGTTACTCTTACATCTGTATGATAAATTGCGTTTACCGTTACAGAGGATGCCTATCACGACGGAGCGGATAGTAGAATATAATGTATCGTGTGGCCGGATTAGGTGATAAACAATCTCTGAGGCGCAGATTGTTATCCCTCGCGCAAAGTTCACTCCCAGATGAACCCGGTAGAAGTATCAAGGAGAGCAATGCAGCAGACACTCTCCAACCGATGATGTAATGATTGATTACGTTGGCGCTATTCGTTTAGGGAATTCTAATGAATAACAACGTGTGCATTTGGCGTGTGAACAAAATACACAATCAAGAGGGTTACCTTGTTGAGTAACATTTCGGTTGAGTGGGTATAATTTATGGTAAACACAACACTGGTTTGATGTTTATTTCCCTTCGTGATGAAAGGTATGGACACCAGACACTCTTTGAAAAAAACCATTTTTGTGCTTGTTCTCCGGATGTGTACATATACTTAGGTTACCAACGTATCTTGCATTAAACGTCATCATACAGAAGCTGTTGATTCAGTGCAATATGTCTACGTCAACTTTATGGATTAAATGCTACAAATGTCACTGGATTCGATAACAAGACCGATTGTGATAAGTGTACTATAGGAATATACTGCATTTTATTTTTATTTTCTGTGTCAAGTTTAACTATATTCATTTCTAGAAATGAATAAAAAGAGATTCAGTCAGTTGCAGTGACTATCCAATTGGGTCGAAGTACTTGTACAACGGTCGAAAAAGGATACTGGACGGTTGTTGTTGGAACTCGTCAGTGGTGCCTACTACTTTCCTGTTTTATCGGGGCCTCGAAATGAGGAAGTCGAGATTTTTATCACTGGGTTACACGATCTGTGCAAGCATTTAACTGGGTGGTCATAAAGGTTTTTGCGTAGGGATTTCGTCTTGTACGGAGCAAATGAAGCGTGAACTGAAAAGTTGGAAAGCACCGTGCAGTTGTTTAGACCCGGGGTGAATTTCATCGACAGGGCCGATCCGACCACCCAACTGATGATCTAATCCTTCACTTTACGGGTAGACCGCAACTAGACTACCCAGTAGACCACCAAACAGTAAATCAGACTGTTTTTCGTTTTGCCTACGCACGATAAATCATGGATGATTGTACAATACTAAGAAAATCATAATAAACTCCTCATTATTCAATTGAAGGTTATTCGAAATCGGTCGCCTTGTTGAAGCTGGTAGCATTTGAGTCTTCTAAAGTAACCCAAATCAACGTGATAATTTACGAACGGACCATTGAAAGAGCTATATAATTTTTAAAAGATGCTTCCTAGATGTGTATACCCCAAAAACAAATTGGTTTTGCGCACTTCAGCTAAATCAAACGTTGATTCAATGCATATCCACGTTCTACATTGAAGCTGGAGGTAGGTATCAAGACCACAGGACTCCGGATAAACTGAGTTCCTTCATTTTTATATTAACAAACCTGGCGTAGCGCATCATCACCTTATTAGGCTGTTTTATAGTGGTCATTGAAATAGGGTTAAATTTACCCGTCACATGCAATCCATTAACATAGCTCTCCTTACTGCCTCCTTAGTGAAAGGTATGTTTCCAGAAAGAGAAAAATCTTAAGTTCTTTATTAGGTTTGATTGTACCTAGCACCAAAAGAGAAGAAAGTTGATCATTGTGATTCCGATTATTGAATAGAGTTGCATATGCAGCTTAGCAAGGAGACCACTGTTTTGAATTTGTTGAAGTCGTCAGTATGCGTGTGTGCGTTTTAATACCAACCGGAACTTGCACCGGGAATCTATGTGCTTTCTTTTACCCCCATGTTCACACAGATCTGCTAACATGATTGTTTAAATAGTGTGGTCTTGAAACAAAATATATTTAATTATAGGCGAGGTGTTGTAGGAACACAACCACGCCGGTTCCTCTTGACCAAACTGTGAAGGAAAAAAATCGATGGTCATCTGGGTGTTTTCAAACCAATAATAGGCCTTTCACAACCCCCTCGGTGATTATGCGTATTGTTTTCGGGCCAACTGGGAAGCATTATAAACGTTCGCAGAAAAAAATTGTGGTTGAATGCATTCACGGTGTTACAGTATTTCACTGGTGTGAGATTGTCCCGAGTAGTAGTTGACTTCTACAATCCAAACATTATTAATACGTCCATTTACATTTATATATCTACATACAATTAGCCGCTAACCTTAGCGTTTTCAACCAATCTACGATCACTTTCCCATGACTGTTTGCATTCACGATTCATCCCGTTCTTGATTTCAATATCCCCTCCCATGCTCTCCGTTCCCTTCTCCCTGCCACGTCCCTCGTCCTCGGTCCACTTAACTCCCCCTTCCAAACTCGCCCAACCCAACGCAATCGGCGGTCTGCCTGCCTACCTGCCTGCCTGCCTGCCTGCCTCAACCGCAATTATTATTCCCAACTTCCATGATCATTTTGTTTACCGACAAACTCCACACGCACGCACGCACATGCATTCATACACGCACACACACACACTCACATGCACACACGTTCGTTTCTCTTCGTGTGTGTGTGCAAATGTCACCAGCCCGAAAATGAGGACAGATTAAAACAGCTACAGTTAATGGAACTTGCAGTGCTAAACGGTATGACAATCATGATGACTAACCAATCCTAACACACGTGCTAATCTCGTTTCCCGTCCGGTGTCACACTACTCCATCTGTTCTCATTGCGTTTTTCGTTCCGATCTGGTGTGCGCGTTTGTGCGTGCCCGTACGCACGCTTTCGTGTGGCATTAACTCGATGTGCGTGTGTGTGCGTGCGTGCGTGTGGGCTTGCAAATGGCTCGTTATGGCAGTTTCTTTTTTTACCGTACGGTAGTCCCTTAAGGGATAAGTTCTGTTCAATTTACCTCGCCTTGTTTGTTGCTATTGCTGTTGCTACTACTGCTCATACTACCCTCACTTCTAATCCATTCGTATCGTTTTAACTTGCAGTCAATTTTATTAATGCCTCTTATGGAAATTACTATAACTCCCACCTACACAATGAGGCCAGTGCTTAAATCTAGGATAGTTTGGTTTATCCCTGACGGTGTGCCATATAAGTTTTTCCTGTGGTTGAATGTTATGCTTGGTTCTCGATGGTTTAGTCTGCGTTAGGTGGGACAAATGTTACGCAGGTTTTGCTGTGGACTGTTTCGGGGTTTTCTACTCGTTGAGGCTGGTATTGCTTGACTAAATCGTGTGGGACAATCAGACCGCGGTCGGTAAGGTCCGCTCTGCCTGAACTGTGACCATTAGAAGCTAAACAGAAATATTTTAACACACACACTTACTTTGCACTTGCAAAGCTCTGCGGATTTGACCTGAATGCTGAATGGTATGTCCCTGAATCGAATTCTCGACAATACGAGATGAAATTGATAACGGAAACAAACGTTACAGCGAAGATCTACTTGCAGACAGATTCTCCATGGGTAGATGTACGGTGACACCAGGTCTGCAATGTAGCAGAAACAAATCCGTCTTAATTTCAATATTCTCACTCACATTTAAGCGGCTGTGATGCACCAAAAGTTACATGTGTTTGCTGGTATTCTTTGTTTATTTTGTTATTTTACAGGATTCCTTGTATACGATAAAATCTCACAGGGGTTTAAGGATGGAATGATTAAAGCAAAGTTGAAGGCGCTTATTCTCGTGTGGTATGGTTTCTGTAGGGACACAGCAAAATATAAAGCTTCGCTTTCCGCAGGAAAGTCGTCGTTTCAACGCAGAGGGTGGGAAAAACTTGCGACGACAGAACTGGATACTCACGAACTCTATGTATTGCTTATCCACTACGCGCTTGAAATCATGTAGCTCTTACAGAGCTCAGAACTTCTCTCAGTAAATACATTCTTATTTGTTATACGTCCATCAATTTTGACAAGTTAGATGAATTTGCAACGTATTTAATGCGTCACTCAAACTGAAACTGATTGGCATGACAGTTCTGCGTGATTTGTTCCATTCTGAATTAAGCACCAACAGACTCCTGCGATGTTTGGTTGGCAATGTAAGCACCATACATCACACATTTGAACAGAGGATTGCACAGTGTTGTTTTAGTTGTGGTTACACCATTGCTCCCTATTTGGATTAGATTATCCTTCTGTGATGATTGCATAACTGTCATCAACACAGTGACCCATGAGTGAATTCCCGTCTCCGAGTGATATGAATCAAATCAGAGTTTATTTTAATCTTATTTCAATGGTGTTTACCAATCTATGTATAACTCTTGAACAGATGGTGACTGATTTATTGTTTACTTAGAACAGAACCAAAATGTCGCGGGAAATGGAAACTTTATCTGCTAAACATAACCCCTTATATTTCTTCCGTTCACACTGTTTTGTATGTGTGTGTGTAACCTAAACACGTGCTCATCATTGTCTAACACTGTAGAGCATTTATCTCAACGCATGCGTCACACTACTCCCACTGGAATTTATTTCGTTGTCCACAAACGGTGATCTGTTGTTTTACTTAAAAGCCCAACGGTGAAGACGAATTGAAACGACGTCAACTGATGGAGCTGGCCATTATCAACGGCACGTATCGTGCTGAGACACAGCCCACAGCCCACACGGACAATCATACAGTTCGCCCCACTTCTGATCTGATCCATGCAAACTCTGTCGACTCAAGTACGGATGGATGGGGTTGTACGAGTCCAAACGATTGCGGTTTCATGGTTGAGCTGTGTTTGAATCCGGGCTCAGGTGATTTACGCCTGTCCACATCCAATGGTTCAGTTGCTCGTGAGTCTCGCATGCAAGAACAACTGACTAAATTGCATGTGTGCAGCACACACGGAAAACAATCTACCCCCACACTGCACCATGGGATGCTTAAGTCTCTCCGGCTTTTGAACATCCGGTTGCTGTTGTTATTCTTGTTGTGCATCTTCATACTCTCGTCCATGAGTCTGCTACAACCCACTGTGTACTATATCATAGCTTTCTTTCTGCCTGGACTTCTACGGGTTCAGTTTACTCTCAAACGATTGTATATTTATGGGCACTGTGTGGTCTATGATTAATGCGTACCCGCATACTCACATCCGTAAACTCGATTCAATCAGAGTGAGATTGATCTGGCGTCCGACAACTTGATTTTCTTGGGGCTTTCCCAAACTCACATGGGTGCTTCCAAGCCTGTATGGTTTGTGCTGTCTTGCATGCGTTCCCTCATCCACATCAGATCCTGTGACTGGTTTGGCAATATGTTCATTTCTCTACAAAAACGTATTTCGTTGTTATAATTCCACAGTGAACGGTGAGGCTGCTTATATATATGCAGTGTTAACTACTTGACTAACGATTTACGTACTTGATATGTATGTGAAGCATTTGCTTAAACTCCGCATGTAACTGTTAGAGCTCATGCAGGTAGCTGAAAAGATCTTTAATAAGTCAATTTTTATGGTTGCCTTTGCCGAGCATGAACTCCGCTGATTCTTATAAATCTTATTTACTTGTTCTTTTAAGTTTAGTATTCTGCGCATACCGGATTTTTTTTGTAGAAAAGTTTCACCAACCACGGTGAATGTATCCACTGGAGAGTGACTCCATTCTCATCTCCTACAAACAGTTCAGTCCAGTTCTTACAACCATTAACCATGCACTTTCGTGCGCCGGTTTTAGTTACTGTCCTTTGATTGTCCGTTTGGATAAAAAGCAGAATGAAGATTAGAATGTTGACAGCCGATTCACGCGAAAGATAGCCTGACGTTTCCCACAAACCATTTATTATAAACTATTTTAATATTCTGTCAGTGAGTAAAAGGAACAGTGTAAGCGGGGAAGCGCGTAATCAACTGGCCTCCTCTTATAAACAATAGATAATTTTTACAGAATTCTGTCAGCTATCCCGGAAGAACGTGACTTTGCGCGTGTTGTACTTTTATCGGCAGTTCTGTCTTGTTCAGCTGGTGTCTTCGGTATCCTGATTAGTCTGGCCACATGTTAGTGCCCATCATCAAGTTTTTGTCCGAAATCACCTGTCTAATGCGTTCAACATCAGGCTTCGAGGGGCAGAATAGAAATTCAAAAGAAGAAGTAAGAGGAGAAAACATCAGTCAGAAACTTCGGTCTCGATTTGGAGAAGTTGTTAGCTGAAAATCATGAAAACATTTGTAGAGATACACAGATTTTGTGAGAAGATCCTGCCTTGTCTGTTATCCGATAATCATGCTAATATCTGAAAAACGCATCAAAGCTGCTTCTTTGTCTACTATAGAGTTTGCTGTAATAATTGAGGATTGTAAAACGCATCGCCAGATTTAACAACTTGTAGTTTGTTTTGTGACTGCTAAAGCCCACTGCTACTGGTCAGTTACTTGATATTTGCAAAGGGCTCTCGATAACTAACTGAATGGAAGAACCAATCAACCAATTAATCAATCGATCAATCAATCAATCAATTGACCAATTAGCTAACAGAACAATTAGGCTTTGTGCATATTTGCAACACAAGCCTTGTTTACTTATCCTTTTCCTAGTTTGATCTGCTTATTATTAATCATCAGTGTCGCTATATTGCGCTTCGCACCTGCTTCTAATTGTGTTATTTTGCTTTACTCGCTTCTGTCTTTGTATTCGTTGTTGTCGTTGCCGTGCTCGTTGTCCTTGTTGCTCACATACAAACCGGTCTCGTAAATCAATAGCTTGCCGTATCTATTTTTCGTTTGGCATCTGTATTAGCAACCTGGATTCAGCCATTCAAGCGCAACACGAATTGGTTCATTTTTATAAAGCTTCATATGTGTGATCTACTTTCTCTGTTCTAGATAAAGATCGTCAACAAGCACAAGCAGCCCATCAAGTCCAACAGCATCAACAACTAGTGCTTCAACACCAATCGTTAACCGTGCTCAACAATCAGGCTGTGGCTGCGGCCGCGGCTGCTCAACTTCTCCAATCCTCGCCTTATCACACCTCACCCTTGCTAGGTCGACTCCCTGCCCAAGGTTAGTGGCGACCATGTTTCTGCATAATCTGTCCATTAGTTGATGACCTGAATAATAGATTGACCAGCTAATTATTTAGGAGACTTCATCTACCTAAATCGAACGTCAACTTTTTAAAAAGTGCTTTGGGGATCCTGATGAACTGTCGTTCCGATCGGGTTTTAATACAATATGGCCATGAATCGTAAAGTTCCCGGATCCTACAAAGCAAATAGGTGATGTGATATCTCCAGGTTTTGGGTTTTTAAGGCTTAGTTCATCCATTTTTCAGTGTGAATGAGGTTGCTAGAACTTTGTGGAGGAGTGAGGTAAATTAATCATGATTCATTATTAATTATACATCCGTAGAATCACACAATACACAATCAACAAAACTGAAAACCCTGATTCCAAACCAACCAAGAAGAGGCGTGCGAACCACACCCACCCATATCTTCCGGGTTGCGGCATTGATCATCGGCTCCATTGGTCATCGAAACGCATTGGGCACCTTGGACGTTTGACCCCTTCCAATCGGTATATGCTTCGATGAACTGGACACTGGGCTTTAATGTATTGCGGTTTTCACAAACCGCCTCGCTGCCTTGCGAATCCTCCTTTGGTTAACCGAAGGCTCCGATTGTGAATTCCCTAAGAAAATTCACGTGATTTGACCTGGGCAACTTAGCAGCATCGGGCCCATGAGCAAATCATATGCCATTTTTCTTTTTATAAAGATGATTTTGCCATGTTTTGTTTCACCCACAGTGAGAATGTAATTATTCTATTTCGCCTGTTCGCTGAGCTTGGCAATTTGTTTGCAAACGTTTCATCACCAGCCGAGGTCGCGCTTGTGAAGTGGTTGGTGATGAAACGTTTACAAACAAATTACCAAGCTCGGCGAACAGGGTAAATATAATTCAGTTCACCCGAGATACGAGAAACGATTGTCAATACTTTGATAGCAGAATCTAATTATAGTTTAACATAATTAACAACGAGAGGTATAAGATACGGCCTTATCGTATGTCCGATAGCAATGCTCAAACAAATGGATGATTGATCCCTTGAAATGTTTGACTTTATTCAGCAGCTTTTAGGGTAAAAAGGAAATTATGAACTCCCGTTTGAAAGCTCTAATTCGTTTTTGCGTGGACATTAGTGCATAAATGTATCTTCCAATGTCGAAATATAACTGTACCTTACCGTTTCTGATGAAGAATTTCTGCAAGGTTGTAACTTTCACTGCTTTGCTTCACTGAGGTATTTTATCCCGATCTGTTTCAACTTCTAATAGCAACCGGAGGTGCAAATTTGGCCAACTACATTCCTAGCTCGGTCCTACCCAATGTCCTCTGTCCGCTGTCTAACAGTCCTTCCTTACCAATGGGTCCTGGTGTCAATCTGAGCGGTCAAGTAGGATTGGGTCTGTCCTTGCCACAACTGCCTGGTTCCAGTGCCTCGGTAGCTGTACCCGGGCTGGGATTCCCTATGGGTCAAACGAATTCCGGTAAGCTTTTGAATTCCATACATGACCGGAATAGAATGGGATGAAGCTGTCATTAGACCGATGCACATCGTTAATTGATCCCAAATGCTCCCATTTTACTCAAAGCGAAGAAATATATTAGGGGATCCAGTGGTTTTAGGCACTTGCTAGGTGTAATCAGAATTACGCAAATACAAATAAAAGTAGTCGCACGTTGTGACAAGACCATACTATCAAATAACAACCTTTACCATCGTTTTAACAGAAGAAGNAAGTAATTAAACAAATCACCTTCGGAAGTCAAAAGATGTCAGAGGACACAAAAACAGGGGATGTAGGTAGCGGTGCTAGTAAGGGAACAAACAACAATCCATTGGTTAAAATAAAGGGCATCGATGCCGACCGCCTAATCAACACCAACAGACTTGAAAATATAATTTATATCCTTGGAAATATTTAAGTTACCGAACTGATAGCTTTAGGAAAAGGTACTCAATAAATTATACAAAATTAATCAGACACAATTCCCTCACTGTTCCAGCTTGATAAAGCTTATACAACGAAACTGGCAGATAAAGCTTTCCCATTTTTATAATGCACTGTTGTGTAATGAGCAGACGAAAGGCGGAACACCCCATAATGACGAGGGCCCATTATTCATTTATGGAAACCACCAGCCTAATCCCTAGAACTGAGAGTGATGAACCACAAAATCCCCACTAGCATAGTCGTGGTGTAGAGTCGGGTGCCGGAGAAGCTGCTATTACCAAATTTGGGCGGCAGTGGCCGGGTTAGAACCTCAGGCCCTAGGGCTCAAAGTAAGCCAGTGAAAGTGACCTACACCACTCGACAATTATCACTCACAAAACATTGCCTTTGAAATGAGCCTAGTCGTGTTCACCTATGACATTTGAATTGTTCTCACTCATCCAACCATCTTTGAATGCTGCAGGGTAAATCAGATTCATTAAGAGATCGCCGTGACTCTTCGATACACATCATTGTATTATTACGATTGTGCACAAGAAAATATTGAGAATTGGTTCACCCCATAATTTCATCTTGATGCACGCTACTGCAAAACATTGGTAATAATGTATATCTATTTCACCGTTGTTTGAAATCGTCCGAAGTGGATATCCACTAAGCTTGTAGCGGTTCTAATCCGAAAGTTTTACTTGTTGTTTTTACGCGATGGTCTTCTGTGAAAGGAGAAATCTGTTACATCAAGTATAATGATCAAATTTTCTCCTTAGATGTAATGTCCTATGCACCATCCCTTGTTGCACATACAAGTTCGTTTCTGTGAGACAGTAAATTTGATAATGGGGTGGCAAGTCATTCTTTTCTTTACGGAAGCCTTACTGAGTAGATGAAGGATTGATGGTCTTATTAGTGGCCAGTTAAATTCACCGGGATTTAGTGGCACGGTCCAGGGCTTCATGTTGTTTCCAAGGAAGAACGATTACTAAACCAAAGCCCATCACGTCATTGGGAAGTTCCAGTGCTCATGGGTGACAACTTATTTACGTTGCTGCTCTTTACTTTGATGTCCATTCCCTTATCCACGACCCGGAGAAGCGCCAGGTAGTGCGCAGCCCACTGTTGATATATATAGATGCGAGTCCCGCAGTCTGCCGTGGGTTATTTTATAATCATTCAATTTTGTATTATTCAAATGAATTACCAATTGACTGACACAAAACGAAAATGGATAGATCTAGATCTTAATTATTCTTTTCTTTCGCTCAAATCCAGTCTCACCCAATCTGATTAGTTGCACTCCCGGTCCGACGCAAGATCAATTGAATGCTATGGCCGCGCTGCTCACCTCGGGGGCCGCCAGCTCGGTGGCATCCAATGTGCATCTGTCCAACGGAAAATTGAGCTTACAGGGGACAGGCAAAACAAATCAACTATATCCCATGACTTCCTTGGCCTCACCTTTGGTTGAAGCCGTGAATATTTTGGATTATAATACGGCCACAGGAGGAACAGCACAGGATCATGTAGCCGGTGGGTGACTTGTCATGAGTAACCAATTGTGTTTCTTGATTTAACGAAAACTTTGTTTTAAGTATCGAAGTGATGAATTACTGACAATGATTCCCAACGTTTTCCCCCCACAGTGAAGTGATCTATTTTTTGTGGAGTCAGTGTTCAAATTAATCACTTTTCGCTCGCATAATGATATTTTGGGTGTTGAGAAATACAGTAGAGTATTCAGAGTGTCTTGAAGCATTTTCCTACGGGGCTTTGAAACAAATATGCAACCTCAAAATGAATGATAGTTTTTCACAATGATTGATAATCTTCGCAGAATCCTTATTGTAGTAGGTCTTTTCTTGCAATCTTTAGCTCAAAACTATTTGCATATTGTGATTTTTGGAACAAACACTAACACGTCGAAGTTTTCATAAGTGACTCATTTCACTGAAACGATTGACAGAGATGGTCCAAACCATCGATAACGGAAAGGTGAGGAGTGTCGCTGAGATATTATGAACGTCAGTAGCCTGTCAGCATATCACCAATTATTTATTTGACAAATGGTTTTGATCACCCCGTCGGCTTAAATCAAACGAATGATGAAATATTATGAAAATAGCCTGTTCTACAAATACTTTTTTCTGCAAAAGGCAGTATAATGAACCCTATAAATGATAAATCTCATGACCGCAAGGACTTATGGTTTTGCTAGGTCAGCCGGTAAACTCAACTCAACAAACTGGGTGACGTTGATCACGTGGTTAGAGTCCTTACAACAGTGGCTCGGAGGTTATAAGTTTTTCAACTTGCCATTGACTGCCATCTACCACGTTATCTGTCCCCAGCAGCTCATGATTAGTCGCAGGCATTTTACTAAAGTTTTGTTGTACATTTGTATATTTAGTAAATCACAAGGAAGTAAAACGTGTTGTGACCCCCAAAATGTTTCCGTGAGATAGATGTGGGATTAGGCCGGACTACTACAAAACTATCTACTACCGTAGTTGGGTAACGATTTTGAAGTTCATCTTTTCTAGAGACTTCAACCTCCACCCCCTTTGCTGTGGCGACGATGACAACAAAGTACCATGAGTTCTCACACGGACTTTTACCAAAAGCACCTGTAATTACTAAAATGTCCCGCCCTAGNTAGTTAGTTGGCCACCATCCTTTCAGAAATCTACAACCATGCAGAGCTACGTGCAGAATATCGATTCAAATCTGGTCGGAAATTCGCAGTCACATTTGACATTCTCTTTCTCCCTATTTGACATTCACCAGTAAGGGCGGCACATCAATCTCATGTACACCTTCCTGATTTTTCACAAATGTGTATCCTTGCGTTTAGGAGATGGCATATCACATAGTTAGTTGTTTACCGACCAGCTGAGCCAGTCACAATTAACAGGTTTTCTGAAACTGGTATGCATAGAAATTTTGTGCCGGATAAAGTTTTTCAGGACAGCCAAAAGAGGAGCCTGTAGGTGGAAGTAACCTTTCTATCCGAGCACAAATTCCGGTTGTATAACTAGGGCTACAAATTTTCTCAGATAGGATGGAACAACAGAAAGAATACCTAGCTCCATCGTAGCTTTTTGCCATGGATATGAATGGGAGTTTGACAGCTTCGAGGATCCCTATATCAGTTGGGATTATACTAGGTCTCCCCGCATACAATTAACTTCTTTTCAAATGAAGTCATCTAAGCTAAGGTGATCACCTGATGTAAGCGGTCCAAAATAAATACAAACACTTGACTCATTGAACTTCAGATAGCATTTGCATTGAAGCACAAGTCTCGAAGTTGCAATTATATACATTTATGAGAGGTAATTGTTCTGAGAATGACAGGTGATAAGTGAATTAATAATAATAATGGTACTGAAAATAATCAGTACCGTTTTATTGACCAATTTGGGGCGCTTATTGATAATGTAAATGCTTCCTATATGAAAGGAAACAAATTTATTTCCCATCAGTTTGGGACAACTTTGGCGAAGAACTGTAACAAGAGAAGCATTTCATTTTTGCTTGATATGAGGATTTGCGTAACTGAAAATAAAATGGTAGACCAGCTTTGGCTTTTATTACACACGGTTGTTTTACATTACTCCATCGCAGCAGGACTTGGAGCTGACGAATAAACGACAAATAACAAAGTATCCCATCCAAAATTGGAAAGAATGTCTTGGAAGAAATTGTGCGTTGTGCTCATAGTATTAGATCCGTATAGGAATGTTTGGATTAGCCATAACGAGAGAAAACCCAAAACAACAATTTTCGGTTGACAACGTTTCGACCCACTTGGAAGACCTTCCAACGTCGTCAACCGAAAATTGTTGTTTTTGGTTTTCTCTTGTTGTGGCTAATCCAACCATTCCCATACGGATCTAAAGACAAATAACAAAAGCTAGAATAGTTTTGTCCACTCTGTTATCCGACTTTCCATGGAGGTAAGGGTGTATGTGCATCCGCACTGTCGATAGTGTTTTACTTATGGGTTGCGAGACCTGGTCTTTCCACTCGGAGCCTACTCATCGAATTTCTTTACCCTATTACCGATGTCTTAAAAGCATTGCTGCTGTCCGGTGGGAACATCGGATTAGCGACAATGAGGTTCGTTGTCGTGCATGCTCTTAGATGTTCTCCAAAAGAAGAAATCACTATACTCCGTCTCAAATAACTCGGTCACGTGTTGCTCATTGTCTGCTTCGTCTTCGTGCTTCCTTTGCACATACTAGAAAACGCTGGAAGAAGCTCCGAAGTGGTCAGACGATAATCTGAATTAGGGGCATAAAGAAGCAAGTTTTAGCGTTGGCCTCGGTTCACGCAGCCCGGCTTCCAGATTGTGTCCGGAGGGATGACTATCACTGATAGATGGGGCTCAGAATAGCATTCAGTGGTGTGAGTGCTGCTTGAAATTCCATGTCTCGTGAAGGAAGATTAAGAAAGTATAAAAATAACAGTAATTGTACGGTGAAACACAAAAATACAACTATTGTTTTCTCTATTTTTTATCCAAATCGTTTGCTTCTGTACCTCATTCCTCCATTTTCCTTGTTCGTAAGCCTGTGATATGCAGCCTTAAATCATGGGTTTAGTGGCTATAAATATGTGAACTTCACAGTATGTTAATGATCGCACCTAAAACGCGCATCCGGTGAGATTTATGGACTCATTTTATTGTCGGTATTCTATATAAACAAGCAAAATAAATAGAAGAGTTCTGTTGTAACATACTTCTTGGTATCTATATACAGTAACAGAGTAAATTATCAATCATTCTGATGGTTTTATGACTGTATTTCACTCCTATTTATTACAGAATCATTTAAAATGCGAACTGTGCCTACCTCAGCAACTCAGCCCCGAATGCATCCTTATCTGCGCCCTTGAGCCTCCAGTGAGTATTACTTGATTTTTCATAAACCGTACACTCACCAAGACGAGTCTGTAATCTTTATAAGAAACTAGCTGTACACTTGGACATCCTGTACAATTAGACAGTGTGACGAATGGCGAATCTCGAATTTGGGTCAGTGTTAAACACATAATATAGAAACTTGTATTTAGACTCATTTGAATTCACGTTAATGTGCCTCAGGATGAGGAACGGTCGTTGTNTAGGGATTGCCTGTCGATCGATAGCCAGAATCAATCTCAATGATTTTGAGCGAATGGTGCAACGTTATCATTATTGTTATTTTTTATTGCTACTTGTTGTATTTCTTTGATATTGTGAAAGATCCGCTTCATGTTGGCACACCACAAAAAGTGAAACACTTGCATATACAAGTATTCATCGGTTTGTGGTTACAAACAAGCCCGATCAGGCGATTGAATGCAACGCCAGTCAGGTATTCCGATGTCAATGTTATGATGTTGACACCGATTAGCAGTACGCTGTTAAACATTCACAGTCCATTGCGGCACGGTGTACAATCGGTTGTTTTATTTAGATAAACTAACCCCTTTCTGAATCCCTGATAAGACCAAGGCTTATTGAGACGAACTAAGTTGGCCAATTATACCAGACAGATTGGGAACGGGGAGTCATTAGAAGTCCAGGAGATTGCGATTTTTCCTAAGAAAATGTCAAACCTTTTTTGTAGTTGTTCTTTTCTAACTGTGATTTTTGAAGAAGAGTTCGCTTTTTGCACTGATTTGATAGTCGAAGTGCCTTCAAAACCTACTAGACAATACAGGATTCCTTTGAAACTGATGTGAAATGATTGTAGCTTGGGATGCGGAATTTGGTGTTGGTGAGTTCTCCGAGCCGAAATCAATGTTCACAGACTTTTGTAGCCAACTTCCGCGAACAACACTTCCAGCTCGGAGAACTCACCAACGCCAATACAGGATTTCATTTTCTGGCCAGATACCCAATCAGACCTCAAGGGCTAATTTCCGGGAGGCCAGATGCAGCCAAGTCACAAGGCCGACCGAATGCAAACCCGATGGATTTCACTTTGTTGGTTCAAGTTTACTCCTCCAGAGTTCACTGGTAAAAAGCCCAGGTACCTGGAACTTCTTCTTTTCAGTGGAGTATATCTTCATTTTGTCATTGTACAAGGGGTTAATTGCTTCAGCGTAGTAGGCCACACTGACTAAGACAATTTTTAATCGAATTTTTAGTTCACGTCAGAACTATTTTGCTTTTGGTTAGCTTGTAAAGTCGATGAAAATACACATCATTAATTAGGGTTTGTGAATGAAATAAACATCGATACACGTTTTTATATCATCTATAATTTCGAGATTAACTCGCTTTTCAGTCTATTTTTTCGCACACTGACAGATTGATCTGATAAAACCTTGTTTCATCCACTGCGTTATAAATAGGTAGTTAAAAATTGATTGAACTGGTACACGTGCCTGAATGTCAAAGCGAGAGCTATTTTCTCTTAACTTTTGCAAAATATCTAGCCAAAGCATGCATACTTCGGTTTAACCAAATTCTTTATTCAATAAAAGTATTCAGAAATGTGTCAATTTTATCGGCTTAATAGTTTATGCAAATCAGAGAATGCTCCAA